TACTCTGTTTATATTATAAATTTAATAGTGTATTGTACGTCTATAAATATTAATTTATGAACGTTGTTTCTAACATCCCAAAATTATTCAAATATTTAAATACTAATAAAAAACACACAAAAAGTTATAAGAAAATGATTAAAATTATAATTGCAATGTTTTTAATGAATATTCAAATTCACTTCTTTTGCTTTAAGTCATCTAAAAAGAAACTTCCTTTGGATTTAAACAAAGGTTTTAAATCTTTCCCTTAATGATTAATGAACTGTCCTTATAGGATAAGTGTTTCTGATGCTTCTAAAATAGGATTCTAGCATAATCTAAGTATTGTACTATCAGGATTAACAAAATAATAATAAATAATAAATACCATTTGGCAATAAAGAGCTATTCTGAAGTTGCATGTTAAACTATGCAAGCAAATCTTTATAGCTACTATCTGATTTAAGTGTTTCCTTTGATGTTTTTACATTCCAAAGTCGGATAGAGTTATCATAACCACCAGAAGCTAATGTATTTCCATCAGGAGAGTAACAAATTGAATTAACTATATTAGAATGACCATCTAATTTGGCTTTTTATTATCCTGTCTTAACATCCCATAAACGGATAGAGTTATCTGCACCACCAGATGCTAATGTAGTATCATCAAGAGAGTAACAAATTGAATTAACTGCACTTGAATGTGTCTTAACATCCCATAAACGGATAGACTTATCCCAACTACCAGATGCTAATTTAGTACCATCAGGAGAGTAACAAATTGAATAAACTGTTCTATAATGACCATCTAATATGCCTTTTTATTATCCTGTCTTAACATCCCATAAACGGATAGAGTTATCTGCACCACCAGATGCTAATGTAGTATCATCAGGAGAGTAACAAATTGACATAACATAATCAGAATGACCATCTAATTTGGCTTTTTATTATCCTGTCTTAACATCCCATAAACGGATAGAGCTATCTGCACTACCAGATGCTAATGTAGTACCATCAGGAGAGTAACAAATTGAATTAACTGTTCTAAAATACCCATCTAATTTGGCTTTTTATTATCCTGTCTTAACATCCCATAAACGGATAGAGCTATCTGCACTACCAGATGCTAATGTAGTACCATCAGGAGAGTAACAAATTGAATTAACTGTTCTAAAATACCCATCTAATTTGGCTTTTTATTATCCTGTCTTAACATCCCATAAACGGATAGAGTTATCTGCACTACCAGATGCTAATGTAGTACCATCAGGAGAGTAACAAATTGAATTAACTGTATTAGAGTGACCATCTAATTTGGCTTTTTATTATCCTGTCTTAACATCCCATAAACGGATAGAGTTATCTGCACTACCAGATGCTAATGTAGTACCATCAGGAGAGTAACAAATTGAATTAACTGTATTAGAGTGACCATCTAATTTGGCTTTTTATTATCCTGTCTTAACATCCCATAAACGGATAGAGTTATCTGCACTACCAGATGCTAATGTAGTACCATCAGGAGAGTAACAAATTGAATTAACTGTATTAGAGTGACCATCTAATTTGGCTTTTTATTATCCTGTCTTAACATCCCATAAACGGATAGAGTTATCTGCACTACCAGATGCTAATGTAGTACCATCAGGAGAGTAACAAATTGAATTAACTGTATTAGAGTGACCATCTAATTTGGCTTTTTATTATCCTGTCTTAACATCCCATAAACGGATAGAGTTATCTGCACTACCAGATGCTAATGTAGTACCATCAGGAGAGTAACAAATTGAATTAACTGTATTAGAGTGACCATCTAATTTGGCTTTTTATTATCCTGTCTTAACATCCCATAAACGGATAGAGTTATCTGCACTACCAGATGCTAATGTAGTACCATCAGGAGAGTAACAAATTGAATTAACTGTATTAGAGTGACCATCTAATTTGGCTTTTTATTATCCTGTCTTAACATCCCATAAACGGATAGAGTTATCTGCACTACCAGATGCTAATGTAGTACCATCAGGAGAGTAACAAATTGAATTAACTGTATTTGAATGACCATCTAATTTGGCTTTTTATTATCCTGTCTTAACATCCCATAATCGGATGGAGTTATCCCGACTACCAGATGCTAATGTAGTCCCATCAGGAGAGTAACAAATTGAATTAACATAATGCCAATGACCATCTAATTTGGCTTTTTATTATCCTGTCTTAACATCCCATAATCGGATGGAGTTATCCCGACTACCAGATGCTAATGTAGTCCCATCAGGAGAGTAACAAATTGAATTAACATAATGCCAATGACCATCTAATTTGGCTTTTTATTATCCTGTCTTAACATCCCATAAACGGATAGACTTATCATCACTACCAGATGCTAATGTAGTACCATCAGGAGAGTAACAAATTGAATTAACAGTTGATGAATGACCATCTAATATTGCTTTTTGTTTTCCTGTTTTGAGGTTCCATAAATATACAATATTTCCACTGCTAAAAGCTAATGTACTAGTATTATGTGAGAAGCATATTGATTTTACTTCTTCCTTTACCTTGATTCTAGACTTTATTTTTCCTGTTTTAGCATGCCACAATATAATCGAATTATCATCACTACAAGAAGCTAATTACTTACCATCAGGAGAAAAGCAGACCTAATTGACTCTTTTACAATGACCATCTAATTTATTTAATTCATGTATTTTGATATTCTTCCAATTACAATTAAGCATTTACGCTTAATTCAAATTAATTCCACAAATATCTACATTGTCAAATTCTGATCCATTGAATATGCATCTTACAAAATTTCCACCAACTAAAGAGGTATTTCTTATCCTGATATTCTCAAAGCATTATTCCCTCAAATCCACTTTCATTTAAACTAGCAAATGAAGAGAATTTGATCCACACCAAATATATAACTCATCTAAAGCAGTCAGATGAACTAAAAATTTTAGGAATTCAATTATCTTCTTATCTAATGATATTTTTGTGACTAGATCCTGTTTAAATTCTTCATAATCATCCATTGAATAATTCTGTGTATTAATGTCATGATCCCTAACTTTTTTGAGGACATCTGCTATTATCTTAATGTTCTTCTTTCCATTAAGAGTTTATTCTTTCTCAAGCAAAGATTAGTTTTCTACCTTTTAACTTTCGATTTCTAAAAGGAATTTGTTTTGATCTTACGAGAGAAATTTTAGGCAGTCTTAAATTCTCTCTTTTTTTAATATGTTTATGAGGATTGGGAGGAATACTTCATCAACCTCATTGGATAAGGACAAAACTTCATACAACACTCCTACTTACTCTTTTTTGTGGTGCATTTCCCTTTTTTTACAAATATTATTGAATTTCTATTACTTTATTTTGAGATTTATATTACAATCCAAAAGTATCTTAGACTAAATGTTATGAAAGATAGATTAGCGATTTAGTGCTTTGGAATTGATGTAAATTGTCAAGGGGTACTCACATAACCTTGTGTATAATAGAATTCTTAAAATATAGAATAAAAAATCTTCAACAGCACCAAGATCTGCATTTATGATTCATCTTTCAGATATTCAATTTATTAATTTCAAGTTTAAATCTTTAGTATTGAATTACTGGAACTTAACAGAGTTAAACCTTGAGAAATTTATGTCAGAAAGAGTGAAACATTTTTCTAAAGCAAAATTTTAACTTAGTCAAGCTCGTGTTTAAAATGACTAACACTTTTGACTGATATAAATATAATTTCTACAAGTTATAGATTTTATTAATATATAAATATGTAAACATTAACAATTAAAAAGAAATGAATAAAATTGAATTGATATTGGATTTTAATTGGCTTTAAAAAAATCAATTTTGTTTCTATTTTAGATCATTCTCTAAAATAAAACTACCTTTAGATTTAAATAATTATCATCCTTTCAAGCCTAGAGCTCCTTAAGCTTCTATAAGGGTTTAGGAAATTTTTAGAATGGTGATATAAGTGAGAGCTAAGAATAGTGACAAGAAATACCACTTTCAGGAAGATCATTCTATTAAATTTTTGAAGGGGTATCTTTATAACCATTATTTGAAGACAACATTTCTACCCTGTCAAAACAGGAAATTAAATTAATTCTTCACCAAATGGATATAACGAAATTTATGTTAAAATAGAAAGATATCCTTTTTTGTTATAACAGGCTGTGTTATCTCTCTTACTGTTTGTGCCATAACATTAAAACTTTTGAAGTGAAAATAATACATTTACGTATAAATTTAGTTAAAAATTTAATGTCTAATTGGGTTAAACTCAAAGTAATAGATTAGAACATTTTTGTTATTTTTTCATATTATCCATTATGCCAATCTTGAGTAATTTCTTAATTTCATAATGATTTAAAAAATTGAACTAGTTGACGGATATTATCGTTGTGTAGATATTAATTAATTTGTAAAAAAAATTAGTTTGGTAAGATTACATAGTTCTTATCAGAGGGTGATTAATAACTTTTCATTATATATATACAAAATTATTATTGAAAGTAGCTCCTGAAGATGTAATTTCACATAGAGCGTATTTAAGATTATTGTTAGGGATGGATATAATTATACTCTCTAAATCTTATTAGGGATTAGAATACTTATTTTAATATAATAGTTTAGATTATTTCTAGGATTAAGTTTATTCTTTTTTGAAATGTTATCTTTGTTATTAATTGCATTTCTTTTTTATAAATTAAAAATCTAAATTTTACTAAATTATTAATTACCATTTTAAGACTCAACCTGTTTACTCTGTTTGGATTATAAATTTAATAGTGTATTGTACATCTATAAATATTAATTTATAACCGTTGTTTCTGACATCTCATTGTTTACCAAATATTTAAATAGTATTTAACTAAAATGGTTTAATCACTTGATTGAAATGGAATACTTTTGAAAAACATGTACTTATCAATCTTAAGAATTGGAAGATCAAGAATTGAATAAAAATACAGAACTTATAAGAAAATGATTAAAATGATAATTGTAATGTTTTTAATGTACATTCAAAGTAGCTTTAAGTTTTCTAAAAAGAAACTTCCTTTGGATTTAAACAAGTATTTTAAATCTATCCCTTAATAATTCATGAATTATCCTTATAAGATTAGTGTTCCTGATGCTTCTAACTAAGGATTCTAACATATTCTAAGTATTGTACGATCAGGATTAACTAAATAATAATGAATAATAAATACCATTTGCCAATAAGGAGCTATTCTGAAGTGGTATGTTAAACTAGGCAAGCAAACCTTTATAGCTACTATCTGATTGAAGTATATCCGTTGATGTTTGTAGATTCCAGAGACAGATAGAGTTATCTTAACTACCAGAAGCTAATGTATTTCCATCAGGGGAGAAATTGACTGAATAAACTGTTGATGAATGACAATCTAATTTTTCTTTTTATTATTCTGTCTTAACATCCCAAAAACGGATAGACTTATCATGACTACCAGATGCAATTGTAGTACCATCAGGAGAGTAACAAATTGAATTAACATATGATGAATGACCATCTAATTTGGCTATTTATTGTCCTGTCTTAACATTCCATAAACGGATAGACTTATCCCAACTACCAGATGCTAATGTAGTACCATCAGGAGAGTAACAAATTGAATAAACTGTTTCAGAATGACCATCTAATTTGGCTTTTTATTATCCTGTCTTAACATCCCATAAACGGATAGAGTTATCTGCACTACCAGATGCTAATGTAGTACCATCAGGAGAGTAACAAATTGAATTAACTGTATTAGAATGACCATCTAATTTGGCTTTTTATTATCCTGTCTTAACATCCCATAAACGGATAGAGTTATCTGCACTACCAGATGCTAATGTAGTACCATCAGGAGAGTAACAAATTGAATTAACTGTATTAGAATGACCATCTAATTTGGCTTTTTATTATCCTGTCTTAACATCCCATAAACGGATAGAGTTATCTGCACTACCAGATGCTAATGTAGTACCATCAGGAGAGTAACAAATTGAATTAACTGTATTAGAATGACCATCTAATTTGGCTTTTTATTATCCTGTCTTAACATCCCATAAACGGATAGAGTTATCTGCACTACCAGATGCTAATGTAGTACCATCAGGAGAGTAACAAATTGAATTAACTGTATTAGAATGACCATCTAATTTGGCTTTTTATTATCCTGTCTTAACATCCCATAAACGGATAGAGTTATCTGCACTACCAGATGCTAATGTAGTACCATCAGGAGAGTAACAAATTGAATTAACTGTATTAGAATGACCATCTAATTTGGCTTTTTATTATCCTGTCTTAACATCCCATAAACGGATAGAGTTATCTGCACTACCAGATGCTAATGTAGTACCATCAGGAGAGTAACAAATTGAATTAACTGTATTAGAATGACCATCTAATTTGGCTTTTTATTATCCTGTCTTAACATCCCATAAACGGATAGAGTTATCTGCACTACCAGATGCTAATGTAGTACCATCAGGAGAGTAACAAATTGAATAAACTGTTTCAGAATGACCATCTAATTTGGCCTTTTATTATCCTGTCTTAACATCCCATAAACGGATAGACGTATCATAACTACCAGATGCTAATGTAGTACCTTCAGGAGAGTAACAAATTGAATAAACTGTTTCAAAATGACCATCTAATTTGGCTTTTTATTATCCTGTCTTAATATCCCATAAACGGATAGATTTATCATCGCTACCAGATGCTAATGTAGTACCATCAGGAGAGTAACAAATTGAATTAACATATGATGAATGACCATCTAATTTGGCTTTCTATTATCCTGTCTTAACATCCCATAAACAGATGGAGTTATCACTACTACCAGATGCTAATGTAGTACCATCAGGAGAGTAACAAATTGAATAAACAACATTTGAATGACCATTTAACTTGGCTTTTTATTATCCTGTCTTAACATCCCATAAACTGATTGAGTTATCCCAACTACCAGATGCTAATGTAGTACCATCAGGAGAGTAACAAATTGAACTAACACAATTTGAATGACCATCTAATTTGGTTATTTATTATCCTGTCTTAACATCCCACAAACGGATAGACTTATCTCCACTGCCAGATGCTAATGTAGTACCATCAGAAGAGTAACTAATTGATAAAACATATGATGAATGACCATCTAATTTGGCTTTTTATTATCCTGTCTTAACATCCCATAAACGGATAGACGTATCAAAACTACCAGATGCTAATGCAGTACCATCAGGAGAGTAACAAATTGAAAAAACATATGATGAATGACCATCTAATTTGGCTTTTTATTATCCTGTCTTGACATCCCATAAACGGAT